CCTCTTCAGGTGTCCACGTGTCCTGCAGCCAGAAGAACAGCATCAGGAGCTGGCCAAGGATCTGGCCAGGACGCAGACCCCCTCATCCACGTTCCATCTGGCCACCGTGTCCCCTTGGTCTCACACCACCCACCGGGTCCACAAAAGGGATGCCGAAGACATCATAGCTGAAGAAGAGCAGCTCCTTCTCCATCAGGCTCTGCTGGCGGTACACCCGGATCTCCTGTGGCAAGGGGGCACAGGGAAGGGGTGAGGTACAGCACGAGGGCTCTAAAGGAATGTAGGTTTACACCATTCCCGTGGTCCTTGCTCCAGACCTATAGCCCTGGTTTCCTGTTCCCTCTGGCAGCTGGGAAGGAAGTGGCTTTTCCCATCCTGCCTGAATTTCCCTGTCCTGTGTGGATGACTCCTGGGGAGAGGACAGTCCAGTAGAGGCAAACACATGTCCCTCCTGCAGGAAGCTCTTTAGGAGCAGATCCCCTTCCCTACTTCAGCTGGTGTGGGGCAGAGACCTCCATTCCTGCCTACCACATCCCAGGCAGGAACTGGTCATCCAGATCCAGCTATTTTGAAGCCAAATCCTCTCCTTCTTAAGCAATTTCACTTCAGTTGTGGAAGAGTGCAGCAGAGGTGTGCTCAGACCCTCCTAAAAGGTCTGTCCACCTGCCTCTCCCACCCCTGAGGAGTGGGTCCATGCGTGCGAATCTTCCAGCTTCACTTGGCCAAAGATATTTTGCCAGTGATGATTTTCAGTCTCTCAGCTATTTTCCAGCTTGTTGAACCCTAAAACCATCCAAACTGACCACCTTGGGTGGCTGGACCAGAGAAGACCCCAAAACTTCTGCAAAGGTCCCCAAGGAGGAGAGAAGATGTGTCAGCTGATTGCTCACCTCTCGGGGTTGGATGGGTCTCGCCAGGTTTTCCCCCAGGACAGCGGTGTAATAGGCCAAATTCTGGTTCATCACCTCATCGTGTGGGAAGAAGAGCAAATAGGTTTTGGCACATTCGATGGCTTTTTCGTAATTCCCATCTGCAAAGACAAAGTGGGGCTGTTTAACAGCAAGTCCAAGGGCACTGGAGGCAGAGCAAACATGGATATGGAAAGAGAGATGAGAGACAAAATCCTTGTTGTCCTGCAAAGAGTCTCACAAGCAGGGCAGATCCCCTGGAGCAAGGATAACTTGCTGCCACAAAGGCAAAATTCAGAATCCAAGGTGCTCTCCTGCCTCTAGAAACCAGGGTCACAGGTTGAGTACTTTTCTTCCTTGGAAAAAATTCCTGAGGCCCATTTCCAGGCAGTCAGACCCAACCATTCCTCGCTAACCCGCAATTTCCAGCCACTGAAGCACCCTGCCCCACTTCTGTGCAGCCTTTCACAGAATCACACAGTCACAAACTGGGGAAGGAAAGGAAGGGACCACACTGGGTCATCTGGTCCAACCTCCCTGCTTAAGCATCCTAGCACAGGGTTGCATCCAGATGGTTCTGGAATATCTCCAGTGAGGGAGACCCCACACCCTCTCTGGGCAATCTGTCCCAGCACGTGGTCACCTGCACGGTGAAGTTCTTCCTCATATCCAGGTGAAACTTCCTGTGCATCAGTTCCTGCCCGCTGCCTCTTGTCCTATTGCTCAGCACCACCGAGCAGAGCCTGGTCCATCCTCTGACACCCACCCTGCAGATACTGACAGACATGGATGAAGTCCCCTCTCAGCTGTCTCTTCTCGAGGATTTCCATCTTCTTGGATGCCATATTTTTTTTCCCCTCCCTTTGAAGAAATTTGCACAGAAACAGTTTAATTTTTCTAAGGAGGCGAATTAAAAAGTGAAATAAAATCAGATGTATTCGCCTGGGTTACAACTCTTCTGGCAGGGAAGCACACTGCTGTGGTTTGAAGCAAGAGGTAGACAGCAGGCAGGAGGGAAAAAAATACTTCTCCAGGCTGTTATTTCACTTGGAAAGCAAAACTGCCTGGGAATAAAGCGATGTGGAGGATGACTGATCCAAGTGTCCTGCAGAACATTTCAGGCAGGAGGAGCATGCCTGTGTGAACCTCACAAAGTACAACAAGGTCTGGTGGAAGCTTCTCCACCACTGTGAGTGAAGGCAGGGGCATGGGTGGGATTAGAGCAGCCTGTGAAGGACTTGGAGATACTGGTGGATGAAAAATTGGACAGGACCCGGCCATGGTAGCCCAGAAACCCCTCAAGTCCTGGGCTGCACTGTGGACAGCAGGTGAGGGGGGGGATTCTGCCCCTCTGCTCTTCTCTGATGAGACCTCCCCTGCAGTGCTGCCTCCAGCTCTGGGGTCCCCAGCACAAGAAGGGTGTGAATGGACCCCTTTGAGTGGGTCCAGAGGAGGCCACAAAATTGGTTAGAGGACGAGCATATCTAGGAAGAAAGGCTGAAAAAATTTAGGTTGTTGAACCTGTGGAAGGCTCCTGGGAGATCTTATGGCCTTCCCATATCTAGAGGGGGCTACAAGAGATATGAGGACAACTTTTACCAAGGCTTTTAGTGACAGCACAAGGAGCAACAGTCTTAAACTGAAGGAGGGCAGGGTTAGGTTGGCCATAAGGAGGAAATTTTTTATGATGAGGCTGGTGAGGCACTGGCACAGGCTGCATAGACAAGCTGTGGCTGCCCCATCCCTGGAAGTGTTCCAAGGCAAGCTGGATGGGGCAGTGAGAGACCTCGGAGTGACCAATGCCAAGATGTCGCTGCATCTTGGGCTGGACTGACGAGACAATCTTTGAAGGTCCCTTCCCAACCCAACCACTCTGTGGATCCATGATTTCAGCCTGTCCAGAGCTGGGTGCCCAGCCCTGACAGCCCACAGAAGCTGCTTACTGTTGTAGTAGGCAAACTGCAGGTAGTTGAAGTGCGAGGGCAGGAAATCCTCCAGAGGCTTCTCCCGGCCAGGCTGTGAGGCCAGCTCTGTGACACAGCCCTGCTTGCAGCTCAGCACCTGCATGGAGTGATCTGGTGGAGAAAAAAAACAAACATGTCACTGCTCATGGTCACCCACAGGCTGGTGGGCAGGACCCTGAGGGGTCTTCAACCTTCTGCTCGCACTGGGGCTGTTTGCCAGATTTTTGGTGGTTGGTTGTCCACCTCTAAGTGATGGGGGGGGGCTGTGCTGCTCTCTGGGGACACAGTGGCCATCTCTGGCCTCCCATCCTGGTGACCCTCTGCTGGTCCCTCTCCTGTTTTTCCGTATTCCCCTGGAATTTGGAGGGTTCTTGAGCATCACCCCGAGTGCTGAGTGCAGGCAAACACCTCCTGCCACTTACTGGCCACATTTCTCCTAGTAAAGCCTACGATGGTGTTTGCCCTCCACCCACCATCCCTCAGGTCTTTGGGAACCAACCGCCCACCGAGAACTGTCCCCAGCTCTTGTGACAGGACACAGCAGGCAGAGCTGGCACCTGTGATGGCCTGGAAGAGATCTGCATTGTACTCCAGGTAGTTGTAGCCCTCGTAGTCGTAGGGTCCCTCGCAGAGCGCGCGGCACTCGGCGTCTGCCACGAAATACTCGTCCAGGGCCTTCTCCAGGTGCAGGATGGCAGCAGCCGGCTGCTCCTCCGAGTAGAACCGGACCCCCAGCCGAAACTCGCTCTGCAGAGGGATGAGAAATGATGAGGGGGGCTCAACATGGGGGTTCCATCCCCGTGATGGATCACCCGGCCTACCTCGTCCCCATGGGGAGGGACCTCGCAGCACCACAGTCACCGCACAGCGACTTTGGAAGGGGAGGGGGGGGGGGTCTCACCAGGTGGGGTTTGGCCTCCAGGTCGGTGAAGTCCTCCTCGCGGACCCCCACCATAGCCTGGTAGTACTCCAGGTTCTGCCTCATCTCCTGGTGCCCCGGATTGGCCACGAAGAAGGTGTGAGCGGCCGCTGCCGCCTGCGCCGGCCGGTTCATCTGGGTGGGATGAGGGGGGTGAGACAGTGCAGATCCCACGCGGAGAGGAGGGGACCCCCGGCCCCTGGGATATCCCGGAGCATTCCGGAGCATCCCGGGGCATCCCGGCGGCCGGGGTAGGGGGCGGTGACGGGGGCGGCCCCGGCGAGCTCCGACGTGGCACTGAGGGGGGCAGGGCACGGCCATCCCGCCGGGGCACACACCGAACTCATCTCCGGCGTCCCGGCACCGCGATCGTCCCCGGCCGGTTCTCTCGATCCCATCCCTCCATCCCCCCCGCCCGGCTCCGGCATCCTCCGCGTATCCCGCCCGTCCCGCATCCCGCCGCACCGGGAACTCCTCCCTTCCCTCCCTCCCTCCCTGCCGGTCCCGCACCTTGAAATAGGCGACCTGCAGGTAGTTGTAGGGGCTGCGCCGGCCGAACTCGAGCTCCAGCTCCTCGCTCAGGCGGTACCGGGAGGGCGCGGCGGGCCCGCAGCCCCGCAGGCAGGCTGCGCGGCGGAGAAGCCCCCGGAAGAACCGCAGGTCCCGGAGAACCGGGTCGGGCTGGGGCTCGGTGCCCTCCTCCTCGTCCTCCGGCGGCCCCGCCGTGGCGTTGGCGCAGCGCAGGCGGCACCGCGCCAGGCGGGAGCGCAGGGCGGCCCGCGCCCGCAGCGCCCGCTCCATCTGCAGCACCACGGCCGGCCAGTCCCCCCGCACGTACGCCTCGGCGCCGGCGGCGAACAGGGCGTCCGGCGGCTGGGCCGGCAGCGGCGGGTCGTCCGGGACAGGGAGCGGGAGCGGCTCCGGTGGCGTGGCGGCTCCCGCCAGCAGCGCCAGCAGCAGCAGCAGCTCCATGACCGGCACCGGCGGCGGCAGCGCCATGTCTGAGCCCCGGCCGAGTCGCCGCACCGCAGCGATACAAGCCCCGCCCCTCCGTGGCCATCACCCAATAAGCGGCCGCCCCGCCCCGTCTAGGCCCCGCCCCTCTGCCATACCACGCCCCCTTCGCGCACACTGCCCAATCAGAGGCCTCAGAGCCTCAGCCGCGGCCCCGCCCCCTCGCCGCGCGCGGTGACGCCACAGCGGGAAGCGGGCGGAAGTGGTCAGGCGCGGCCGGCGATGGCGGAGGGAGGCGCGGAGCCCGGGCATGGCGGCGCCGGCCCTGGGCTGGCCCTGGCCCTGGTGGAGGGCAGCGCCGGCCGCGCCGCCCGCGTCGGGGACCCCGACGACCTGGTGGCCCTGGCGCGGCAGGTGCAGCAGGTGAGGGCCGGGCCCCGGCGCCGGGGGCATGGCTCTGGGCCCGGTGTCCCCGGTGCCTCCCGGCCGTTCTCCGGGGCCTTCTCAGCCGGCGGCGGCCTTGGTGCCTCCCAGCACTGTTCTCTGGTGACCCCGGCGGCCTCTTGATGCCTCCTACCCTCTCCCACTGTCCCCTCCCAGTGCCCCCCAGTGCCTTCCCGAGTTCCCACGCTGTTGGTGTCTGCAGTACCTCCCATTGCCCCTCGCCGCTTCCCGCTGTGCCCTGCTGCCCCCCCGGTGACTCACAGAGCATCACACCGAAGTCCCATCCCAGTGTACCCTGCTGTCTCCCAGTATGTCCCAGTAACCAGTTCACCCCACTGTGTCCAGGTGCCTCCAGCCGCTACTCTCCCAGTCCATCCCAGCACCCCTGGTATGTCTCATTCCCACTTCAGAGGCTCCCAGTCCATCTCAATGCCTCTGAATCCACCCCAGTTTTTCCCGATATGTCCTACTGCCCCTCCCAGTGTCTCCCAGCACACCCCAGAGCCCCCCCGAATGTTCTACTTTCCCTCCGGTGCCTCCTAGTACATCCTACTGCCTTCCAGTGATGTCCAGTTTGTCCTCCAGAGCTTCTCAGCCCGCCTAAATGCTTCCCTGTAAATCCTACTGCCTCTTTGCTGTGCATCCCACTACCTCCCAGTCCAACCCACTGCCTCCCAGTCTGTCCCTACTGCTCCCTCCCACTGCCCCCAGCCTGTCCAGGCAGCTCCCAGTGCCTCCCAGCTCCACGGGTGTCACTCCAGTTTCCCGGGGTTGCTGTGACAGCTGACACCTCGAGCGTGGGAGGGCTGCGGCTCCTCCCATCCTGACCAGCACCCGCTCCTCCCTCTCCCAGGCCGATGACTTCGTGCGGGCGAACGCCTGCAGCAAACTGGCCGTGATCGCCGAGCAGATCCGGCACCTGCAGGAGCAGGCGCGGAAGGTGAGCGAGGGTGGGCAGGAGGCTCGTTGATGAGCACCTGCCCTCTCTGCCGGGCGATCGGGGGGAGCTGCGGCCCTGGGTGTGAGTCGGGGCCAGAAGCCCAGCAGAGGAGGTTCAGTGGGAAGATGAGGGTTTATTGTCAGGTGTCAATGGGGACGGTTTTGAGTGCTTTCCCTGAGTCCTGGGCACGTCAGGAAGGACTTCAGATAAAGTGGGGGCGCAAGGGCGGGTGGTCCAAAGCAGCTCATGTGTCAGGGAGGACAGAGAGATGACTCTGGATTTAGGAGGGGTGACTCCTGCATGTGCTGTGCTCCCAGGAGGACCCGTAGGGGTGGCAATGTGGCCCTGGTTGGATCTGAGCCCCCTGAGAGCTTTCCCTGACGGTGGGCTTGGCTTTCCCGTTTGTCCCAGCTCAGCTGGTCCTGGCAGCACCCAGCAGGGCTCAGCTGTGCTCATCAATACACCCTTCACCCCCAGGGGTGAAATCTGGAGTCAGAATGGGAAAGGATCTGCCAGTCAGTGCAACTGGCCTGCGGCCATGGAGGCACTTACGTCATGTAATCATTAACTGGTGGAGCTGGGGAGATGAATTTCCCTTTGTTCCCTGCCCCTTTCCCTGGGGACAGCAGCAGGAAGCCCCCAGCAGCTGTGTGTGTGGGGTCAGGCACAGAGGTGAACCTGGGGAGAGGTGCAGAGATCCTTGATCCTTGGAGGTATCTCCACCTCCGAGGAGAGGTGCTCTGAGGTCCAGCTGACAGGGAAGACGTGGAGAAAACTTAATCTCTTTGGGAAGCATCTCCTTCCTGGGGGCAAATGAAATCAGACATGCAGATCGAGGCCTTGTGAGCCATGTGTCAAGTGATGTGTCTTGGGCTCTGGCAATAGCACACTGTCATTTTATTTCAAATGTAGAAATATTAAATTTGTGTTTTCCAGGTCTTGGATGAAGCTAACAGAGATGCTGATCTGAACCACGTGGCCTGCAACCTTGTGAAGAAGCCAGGAAACATTTACTACATGTACAGGAGGGAGAGTGGGCAGCGATACTTCTCCATCCTGTCTCCTAAGGTGAGTGGTCATGGCCCCTGAGGGAGCAGGGAGGGGAAAAAAAAAGTCATGTTTGTGGTGTTTGGGAACATGTGGACCTCAGGAAAAAGCACCAGCTCGATGGGGGGCATTTGTTGGCTGCTGCTCAGTTGGCCTTTGCCCTTGGTCTGGGTTAGTCTGCTGGGGCCAGAGCCATCTTATGGAGTTCTCTGGCTCTTGGTGGAGGATGGCAAGAAGCCCTTTGGTGTTTGGACCTGAATTCTGCCTTTTGGTCCCTGCAGTTCTTCCTCTGAGCCTTTTGTGGCCGGCGTGGCTGCCTGACAGGGTGCTGTCTTCAAGTGCTTCAGCTCAGGGACTGAGTTTGCCTGCAGCTTGAGGAGTGGTCTTGGAGGTCTCCTCCTTACAGGCCACCCATTTTCTTACATGCAGGGTGAAGGCTCCAGGGCAAACCTGTGGGCAGGTCAGGGAGGTCCTGTGCCCCCAAGCCTCCCTGCATCAGCAGTGCTGGGGCTCGACCTGATCTTGGACTCAGGGTAGCTGAGCCTATTTTTAGGTTAAGAAATGGGATGGTCACGTAGCTGGGAGTGCATCAGAGGTTGGGGGCTGAGGGACAGCACAGCCCAGCTGCAAGGGAAACTGGGCACTGATGAAGTCTCTCCTTTCCCTCCCAGGAATGGGGAACCACTCCCCACGAATTTCTCGGTGCCTATAAGCTCCAGCATGACATGTCCTGGACTCCCTTTGAGGACATTGAGAGACGAGATGCAGAAATAGCCATCCTGGAGAAGCTGCTGAGCCGGCAGGCAGCACTGCCCCCCTGCACAGAGCCCAACTTCCAGGGCCTGACCAAGTCACAGGAGTGACCACACAGGACCCCCTGAGCAGAGTCCCTGTGTGAGGGGACACCGGGCCCGGGCACAACCAGCAGGGCAAGGAAAGAGCCCAAGAAACAAAAATGCTGATTGCTCTGTGCTTTAAGGACACTAATTATGTATTCAATCCTACTGGATTTTCTGGTAATTGAGTAATTTATTATGCTGACCTGTGCCTGGTTGTACTGAGAGGCAGGTGGTACCAGCTGGTGTGAGTTCCAGGGGGCTTGGAACGTCCTACCTGCCTGGCTCTGGTGTACCTCACTGTGGCAGGTAATGATTTCAGGGCTGGATTTTGCCCCTTGTTCAAATGCACGTGTTTATGGAACTGTGTGGCCCAGGAAGAGGCGTCAAAACCCCATGCAAAGGGTCTGTTGTGATGAGAATGTGCTGGTCTCTGTCTCAGCTGTTCTGAACCCCTGAGCTGGGAACATGGGTGACCTGGAGCTCTGTTTTCTGGGAAGAGTGCCCTCAAAAGTGCCATTCAGGCCTCAGGTGCTCTTCAAACAATGGGTGTTTCACAGTCCTTGTGCATTCCCCTTGGATTTGAGTGCATGAGCTGCCAGGTGGAGACAAGAGTGGTGGGGAAAGTAAAATAAACCAGTCTTGATCTCAGATGTACCTTTGAGACAGGCCCTGTGTTCCTCCTGTGTGGCAGGTATCCCTTTGGCTTTATCAGGGAGACTTGGTGGCACGTGGAGCTGATAGGACATCTCCAGCCTCTTGTCCTTGTGCCCACACCTTGGGAGGTGCTTGAGGCTGCTGGCAGTGACAATTCCTTATGGGAAGAGCTGTTCCCTGTGGGACCACGTAGAAGTGGGGAGGTTTGAGGCAGCTCCCTGGCAGCCCAGCATTTTTTTTTTTCCCCCCCAGGTTTTTTTTCCCCCAGCTCACCCACATGCCAGCATGGCTGAGCCTTTGGTTGACAGAAACCTGCTCCTCAGAGTCAATTTTTCCCAGTGCCCTTCCTCACTTGAAGCACAAGCCAGATTAACAGCAATTATTCTATTATTATTATTATTATTATTCCAAGGTATAATTAATTCCTCATCAAGTCACAAGTGTCTTAATTTGATGGTTTTTTTTTTCTCTGCTCATTCCGTCGCCCTGGGTCTGATTTTACCCCATGTTATTAAATCTTAACTTGGAAGGGAAGAAAGTTAATTACTGCACGAGCTTTCTGTGGTGCTAATTACAGCAACATCAGATGTGTGTTGATTTAATGCTCCTCTGGGAAGTGGGGCTTCCTGCCCCAGTTTTATCTGTTTCCATCTTTAGTATCTGTACCATGGCACATGCAAAGAGGTCGAGGTGGTTGTGGGACCTCTATAGCCTCAGGTGGGATTTCACCTCCAGCAGACACTCCACAACTTGCTGGTTGTTCTGCAGGTCCTCTGGGCATTGGCAAGTCTTTCTCTTGGATTTGCCCCCCAAAAATCAAAGCCACCATGGCTGTGGATTTGTATGAAAACACAAAGGAGGTCTCGAGAGGCAGGCTGGGGGGGTGATGGGCTCATGCTCGGTGCTCTCATGGGGAAGTGGGGATGAGGGTCCTGCAGAAGTGCAGGGGGGGATTGCTGGAACGGGGGAACCATCCCCCCCAAAACAGCCCACCCAGTCTTGCCATCCCTGCTGGTTCTGTATCCAATAAATCCAAAGAACTGAGGCACTGCCAGAAGTGCTGGAAGGTGGTGTAGAGCCAAGCATGAGGATAAGCATCCTCTGGAACATGGACAAGGATGGAGCTGGGGGCAGGAGGATGAGCTGGAGCCTCCTGTGGTGGTTACAGCTTTGGGTGAGTCCTGGAGAACCAAGGAGATGGTGCCCTGTGAGAGACTCCACAAGTCACTCTGGGTTCATGATCTCACCTGCTCAGCTCAGCCTGTGCCCAGCTGTTGCCTTTGTGCTTGACAGGAGCAGGGATTTCACCCAAAATCAGCTGGGAAGAGTCAGCAGGACACTGGCATCCACTCCCAATTTTGTCTTGAACATTCCTGTGGAAAATATTCTTCTTCCATTGCTCTTTGGTGAGTGCTCAGGGCAGCAGTGAGCATGTTCAGAAGGCAGAGACTTATTACCAAATCTCCAAGGGTGGCCAATATTTGCAGGAGAAGGCACAGATGGGCTTCTGACACCATTACCTAGGGCAGAGCGGGTTTTGCTCTGTCTTTGGCCACACAGAGGAACCAGGACTTGCTTAAAAGGCCCAGCACAAAGATGTTCTGAGGGTCTGACCCACTTCAGCTGCTCCCCAGAGCCCATGGTTGCTGACTCAGGGCTGCTGGCACTAGGACCTGGAGCTCTTTGTGGCTTTTATAAATTGAATTACTCTGGATTTTTCTGTGTCAGGCCAGATTTTGGCCCCTGCTTCTCAAAGTGGCCATGCCTGGAGATTTTCTTTCTGGGCTCTTGTTTCTGAAGGATGAGGTGGGTTTGGGGGGATTTAACCCTCCATAAGTCCCTGACTCTTCCAGGGGGTTGTCTCCCAGCCAGGAGGAGTCTCCAAGCAAGGAGGAATTGTGGCTCTTTGGCCCATTTTGTTTCAGCTTCAGCTCCAGAGGAGAAAAGGAGAACAAAAAAAAAAAAAAAAGGAAGAAAACATTGAGGGAAATTTGGAAACTGATCCAGGGGATGCCCCACATAGGGAGACTCTGCTCCATGTGTGTGCACAGAGGTGCAGGTGCAGGGTGGAGGGGTCTAAATCAGCAACACCGAAGTTTTTATTTAGACTCCAAAGGCTTACATAGAGACCAAAGCAGTGTGTTGTTGCTCTGTGGTCAGTTTACACCAAAAAAAAAAAAAAAAAAGAAAACCAAAAGGCACAGAATTTGCATTGAAAAGACCACAAACCCCGGGAGCTTTTTGCCACTGTGCCCCGTGACCGACCTCCCCTTGCCCATGGATGGTGGATCATCACCAAAGCTATTTGGGCACATGCACATGATCTCTCAAAAAACATGCAACTAGTAAAAGTATACTTTTTTTCCTCCTGTTGTTCTTGAAACCCACGAAGTTTGCCATCATTACAGGAATCCCTGTTGGAGATAAAGGAGGTGTCCAGGATCCTGGAGCATCCCTTAGTCTGCCACTCAACAGAGCCTGTACATCCCAACACCTCTGCAGCTTTGAAGCTCCCATTTCTGGAAAACTGACTATCAGCTACCAAAGAAACAGTAATTTTGCTTCTCAAAATGCAACTATCATGGAGCTACCACAGAGCTCTCATAGAGTGTGCTGAGTTGGATCTCACTGTTTGAGACCAACTGATATCTTCTGTACTCAATGCAACTTTCTTTTTCTAATTCTGTAAGCTACTTTGCACATCTTTGCAAAGGCTCCTCTCAACCACCTGGTACATACAAGACAGGAAGTGAGGGTGGCTGGGCAGGGGAATTTTAATTTTAATAAAAGTGAATTTTAATAACCTGAGCCCAAGACACCAGCAGCACCACAACATACACTTCAAAAATAAAGGAGACCTAATTCTTCACAGAGACGGTGATCAGACACTGGAATGGGCTGCCCAGGTGGATTCACTGTCCCTAGATGTATTTAAGAAGAGACTGGATGTAGCACTCAGTGCCACCATCGAGTAGGCAAGGTGGTGTTAGGTCAAAGGCTGGACTTGACGATCTCAGAGGTCTTTTCCAGCCTGGTTGATTCTGTCTGGTACTTTTTCCACGACTTTCAAGCCTTGCTCTTGTGCTCAGTGATCGGATTGGGTCATGACTAATAAGATGAGGTCACCACTTTCTAGGTCATATATATATATATATATGAACAGAGTGGTGTTCTTTGGGCCCCCTGAGCCCAAAGTAAAAGGAGAGGGGAAAACCTGTTGGTGAGAGTGCTGTTGCAGTCTGGTCAAGAGTGGTGACTGCAGTCTGATTGAAAAGTGGTGGTTGCAGTCTGGTTGGGAGCGGTGATCTGCAGTCTTCCTCTGGATCCCTCGAGTGGTTAAAAAAGTTCATATATATATATATATATATACACACACACAGTATTCAGTATTTATGGAGAATTCGGTCTGACAGAGAGTAGAAGTCGTTTCTTGAGGAAGTTCATTTCCCCGGGAACGGAGCTCCTGGAATCTCTTCCCAT